TTTTTTTTCTTTCAAATTGATGTCTTCTGCTCCAACCGGTGCTTGAAGATATGTAAATGCATCATTACTCAGGCCCCGGCTCCACGGGGACGAAAACGGGTTGAATCCGCATATTTCTCATGCGTATAGCCCTCTAAGCTCGACGACGCCGTAAGGGAAACGTAGAAACAGACCCCGCAAACGACAACGGGTCCAAAGGTGGATAGATCTGGGAACGGAGCGCTCTGGGGGGGTCCAACGGGGCCGTGGAGTCGCCTATACGGTCATTCGTTTTCATAGCCCCGCCTCTCCCCCGCAGGGTTGCTATCGTGCTCCAGTCGCTACTGACCATGCTACAGTTCTTTGTGCAACATCTACAGGAGCTCCTCCTTGAATTCAGATTATTTATCTTTATCTCGATATGGACATAAACGCGAGTGAAGTCTAATCTGACAGGACGGAGACACGCAGCTCCTGCCGCTGTGATGCAGCGGGAGCAAAACACACACTTCAAGTCAGATCATCACCCTTAGCTATTTTAATTACCTCTCAAACTACCTAAACTAGTTATAAATATGTTCATTTTTACTGTCGGGTCACTCATTACAGGATCAGCTGCTGCATGAGACAGACACTGACGCTGTCAGAAGAGAGGAAAAAGAGACAGGCTCCGTGTATTTGATGATTATATATCATTATATCGTCGTTATTCATTTGTTTTAAAGCTCAATAAATAACAATGAAGACCTTTGACCGGCACTTTTATAATTTTGTCCGGAAGATTTAAACTTTAACACACGCTGACCGGCGAAAAACTCTGCCCGGTTCTGTCGGCCCCCACTGCGGAGAATACACAGAAGTGCAGCCATGACAACCATTCTTCTTCGCTGATTTTGTGGAGGAAGTTGCTGCTTTTGTGGAGGAAGTTACAGCGCCACGTACAGGTTCGGCATATGTACTGCAGCTTTTCCAGCGTTTGGATGTAAACGGAGCCGTCTCGTGGAGCTTGACACAATCCGGTGTATATTGCGTGGGGACGGAAGGTTTTTTGCGGTTGCATTTGCGTTACTCCGATGCGTTTTGCCGTATTTGTCCTCGTGGAGCCGGGGCCTCAAGCTGCTTCATCTGGAGTCACAAATGTTTAGGATAACTTTATAACATTTACAGCAGTAGTGGAATTGCCCTTTGACTTAGAAAACTGGCCTCTTTTGTTAAATGGCAATATATTTTCAGATAATCCATTAGGTTTATTTTACTTGGGATTCAGAACGTTTTCTGCATCAGTAAAGGAACAACTGTCCGTTCTGGACACTTTTAAATCTAAAGATATACAAATACAAAGATCTGATGTTGTACAATGTTGTTGTCTGGGAACTGCTGCTCTGCATCAGATACCAGTGAAAATGAGAGGAACTTTAAATGTCTGTACTCTCTAGGCTTAGCAGTGGTGGAGTCTTACCTTGATTTCCTGTAGAAATAGCTCATCAAAAGCTTTGAGAGTGTGACACTCCTTACACTCTCCTTTTGAAAGAAGATTGATTATTTAGAACAAAAATGCAAAACCCTCTCAGAATGTAAACACCACTCACCAACATAATGTGTTTTTCATTTGTACAACCACAGCAACATTCTGCATCCTGAAGGCTTTCGTTTGAGTGTTGACACTGAAAGCTGCTGACATGTGAAGTTGTTGTGTTATGACAGGCTGTCAAAAATGATGTGTGAGTGAATGCTAACAAGAGATTATATTGACCCCCAGCATTTCAGACACACATCATCTAAATCAAGGGAAGCTTGAATACCTTGAGCATATGAAAAACAGAAGAAACACAGCTGCTTTAGATTCAAATGAATGAACAACATTATTTTGGACCCAAACTAAAAATCTGTTGCATTGTTATGCTTCCTGCCTCCTTTTACCTCTCTCTGATCCCTTCTGTCTATCACTCTGGGCTTTTCTTCCCATACACCTTTTCCCTCCTGATCCTTTTCCCTCTTCGGTACAAAGGTCACCATCCTCAAGGTACATTCTCAGCCTATCAGACATCTTTCTTTCAAACCTCCTCAGACAACCATCATCCTTCCCTGATCTTTTCTTTTGTTTTTCCTTTCAGCAGCATTTCTCTGGTTTTCTTTCTCTTTCAGTTTTACTGCTCATCCTTCACTTGTGACAGTCCTAGCCATTCATCATAGGCCCAGCATGAGGGTGACACTATGGAAGAATACTGTGTGTGTGTGTGTGTGTGTGTGTGTGTGTGTGTGTGTGTGTGTGTGTGTGTGTGTGTGTGTGTGTGTGTGTGTGTGTGTGTGTGTGTGTGTGTGTGTGTGTGTGTGTGTGTGTGTGTGTGTGTGTGTGTGTGTGTGTGTGTGTGTGTGTGTGTGTGTGTGTGTCTTTGGCTCCAGCCGATAATCTTAAAGTAACTGTTTTTAAAGGGGTCATTCCTCAATGTGCATATGATATCCTCTACCAAATCACTACAGACATTCATTACTCACACCCACACCCACACACACACACACACACACACACACACACACACACACACACACACACACACACACACACACACACACACACACACACACACACACACACACACACACACACACACACACACACACACACACACACACACACACACACACACACACACACACTGCTTCACAGCTAGTGGGGATTGGGGGCAAATGCTGTCACAGTCCTTGAATGGCTTCCCGTGGTTAGACATGCTTGAAATGACATTCTGTTTCACTGGAGGAGGGGAGTGGGAAAGAGAAAGGTGGAGGGGGAGGGCAGCTAAGTTTGTTAGTTGCAAAAAAAAGTTAACATATGCAGCATGAAAAGCTGTGTGATTTTTGTCTTCATTAACTTTACCATAATTCAGAGGGAGTTACAGTATATAAGGTCTGATAAAGAAATAATTGTCCAGTCAAGTCTATTGTTACATAGGATTTTTGACAACATTATGCGTAACATAAGGTTTTTCTTGTCACTACAGGTAGCAGGACAGTCATTAATGATTACTTAATTGGCTGAAAGACATTGCTTAAAATGTATTTATTCTTTTTTAATTCAGATCAAGACATCAAATTGGTTTTGTTGTTTGAAAAACTAACATACATACTTTATTCCTAATCTTCCTATGTGCTCTGTCTATCACTTGCTTAGTAACTGAAACATTTACATAATTTATATTTTGCTTTGAAAATGGCATGTGGATATATTTTCCACATGACACAGAAGTGACAGGAATGTAAGTTAGTGTTAAGGTCTGTGTGGGAAAGGGGCTTCAGAGAGGAGGGGAGACAGACGATGAATAGGGCAGGACTGTTTATTTATGAAGTGATTTTTCCTCTCATCGAGGAGCGAGGTAGCGAGGTAGCGAGGCCGCCTATTGTTTGCCACTAATGAACAACATGAACGAGTGTGAGAAAGAAAAGAAGAGCAAAGAACAAGGGTGGCTACAAACAACAGATATTAACATGAAAACAAAAACTGTTCTGCCCTGTCCATTTAACCTTGAAAAGTACAAATCAGCACGTTGTGTTGGTGGAAAAACATAGCTGATTATTTAGTGCTGTTTCTGGTCTGTAATGCGTTCTGCTAAAAGGGTTCCCATCACACAAATACACACTGACTTTTGTCTCCAGTAAATGCCTTACAGGCAAGAGGATAGCTCTGAAAAGGAAATGGTCTATTAGAGTGTCTAAACCCATTTATTTATTAGTATGATAGCTCCAGGCAAAGGTGATGTAATCTCTAACAGCTCCTTTAAAGTGTCTCTTTCAGCTACCTGATTTCTTAACAGCACACCACGTGGAGAGACGAGTAGTCTGACATTTCCCCAGAATCCAGATGTCTTTATATCACATTTATGTTTTTATTTTGTCAAAACACCATTATCTCATGTCCTAAAAAAAATCTTAGGCAAGGATATTCAAGAAAAATGTTTTGAATGTGTTACTTTGTACAGACCTTTGGCTCATTTTGACACACAAACACATATTTGTATAGGCTTGCTGAGGTCTGCTCTCAGACTACGACATACAGACATACTAAGAACACTATTAATTTAGCGTTCACTTTTGAAATGTACTCTGTTTTTACCACACCTTAGGTAGGCCCCTTGCTCATAATTACTTTGACACTTGGGCTGCTGCTGATGATATGAACAGACTTTCACAGAGTTCACACTGGAAGCAACTTTTCTAATCATACGCTGAGCATATTATGATCGAATATCTACGGTTAGGTATATGCATAAACACAGGGACTCACTGTCACTATGTGAAGAAAGGTGCTTTTAAGTGAATTATTGGGATGTTTGATTAGATTTTTTACTGTGTTTATGATTTTCCTCTGTCTTTTTGTTTCCCCTTGTTCAAAGAATTCATGCAGAAATAAAAAGTGGAAACAGTTCTCTGTAAGCTGTTAAAGGCACTGAATCCCCCAAATCCTGCTGCTTGTTTTCAATATCCTCCTCACCCACCCTCCTCCTTTTCTTTCTACTAAACCCCATCTTGCTCCTGTCTGCTCCCTGCCCCCGTTTTCTTTCCACCCATATCCTCCCTCGCTGTGTGTGTGCGTGTGTGTGAGCGGGACAGCCGCCCCTACTAGGCAAGTGAAGTAAACTCCCCCTTTTGCCTCTCTCTCTCTCTCTCTCTCTCTCTCTCTCTCTCTCTCTCTCTATCTATCTCTCTCTCTCTCTCTCTCTCTCTCTCTCTCTCTCTCTCTCTCTCTCTCTCTCTCTCTCAGCTGGGCTGCTTCTGTCAGAACGGGTTGGAGGACAATCAACTGCAACTGCTACCGCCGCCGCTGGTGTGTTTTGTGGTGTGGACTTTCTCACGTTGCGGTGGACACACACACACACACACACACACACACACACACACACACACACACACACACACACACACACACACACACACACACCACACACACACACCACACACACACACACACACACACACACACACACACACACACACACACACACACACACACACACACACACACACAGGAGCTTGCTCGCCCAATACTCCCCCTCCCACCTCTCTCTCTCTCCCTGGCACATACACACTCTGAGGGAGAGGCAGTGTGTGAGCTGCGGACCCTGCCGTGTGGACTGTATTGAAGAGAGGAGAAGAGAGGAGCGCAGTGGCAGACTCTACCATGCCAGTGCAGGGAGAAAGGCTGAAGCGCTGTCTCTGTCTCTGGAGCCGGAGTCCTCTGCTGTTGCTTGGACTGTTCTCTCTTCACGCACAAGCACAGGGTGAGTAACTGCAAAGCCTCTCTGTACTCCTCAACATAGTGGCTGTTTTTACTTAGCTTTGCTCTGAAGTTGCTCTGATGCAACTCCTCAAAAATGTGTGAGATTTCCTTTTTCACCTAAACTTTCTTATTTAGTTAGTTCTTCGTCTACTTACTGAAAACAGTATGGTTGTTTTTTCTCACATGTAGAATCGTACTTATATTTTGTGGAAACATGTATGGTACTTCAAAAAGTTTCCATTTAAAACTTTGCTCTGCAGTGTCTTGAAGTGTCAGTTTAAGGAATCAGCTCCAAAATGTAGCAACTGGTGTAGCCATGATCCTGATCATAAGACATGTGGTTGTTTTGCATCAAGGAAATGTTTTGTTAAAGTGTAACATGTCTCCATCAGGATTTTATCAGCTCAAAAAAGGCACAGCTGAGATACAATCTTTTTTATTTAATTTTCCAATTGTCAAATTAAAGGGTTCAGTGTTTTGATAATAGTGAATTTGAGACTAGAAGCATTTTCAAAAACACTATTATGTCATAAGCAGACACTCGTGAATTTGATATCATATTGATATGGTTAGTCAAGAGGTTTTTCTACTGACCATAGAAAACTACATTGAGTTCAATTGTAAGTTGGAGTGTGACAATTGATTATTGATTTTCTTATCACTTTCATTTTCAAACGTTTACAAGTTGTATATATTGCTGGGACAATAGGTTTCATATCTTTCTGTGTATTTGCTTTATCCTTCAAACAGATAGAGAAATATATTGTCATGGAGCGACATTGTTTCCGTCAGTCGCATCAGCCGCTTGTCTGTGACCATGTTTGGTATCTGGAGTGTGATTGGCGAGGTGTTGGAGAGAGAGAGTGTCAGATTTAATAGTCTGTTATGTTTAGTGCCGTGATGTGTGTCATTAAGGTTTGACACTGCACCTCTGTTGTATTTCCAGCATTGGTTTAACTATGGCACAGAGGCTCTATAGATGATCCTGATTAATACAAATCATTGGAGGAATTGAAACAGTAGTGTGTTCTGTTATGTTCAGGTTTGGACTCTTATTTCTGAAGAGTGATTGCGTCCGTGCCTATTTTTTGTTACTGTCTTTATTGTTGGTCTATTTAAAGTAAATGGAGATTGTTTCAGCAGGAGCCCTGAAGTTAAGCCAGCAGAGTCTCATACCTCATACTAAGTGTGCTATGTGCTGAGGTCATGCTGCGACCTCTGGCTGGACGTCACCCCCTCTTTCTCGTCCATCTTTCCTGTCATTGTCACAGTCTGAGACGGCTTTCCTATGGAGTCCATGCTGTGTTACCAGTTCTCATTTACTCCCTTTGCTTGCAGTTACTGTGTTAACCTTTTTAACCGAGCCTTTAAAGGAATTACATTTTGAATACCATGGACATTAAAGCATTTGCACTGCACACATGAGTACACAGGAACACAAACGTAAAAATTGCCAGAGTGTTTGAGAGTCATGGTCATACTGGCTGCTCTGTGCAAGAAGCTGCAGCCACAGCTGCCCAAGAGGAAGACATAATGTGAAATCTGACAAAAAGTTGGAGCTGTACCAAGTTTTGTTCTTGGTTGTGTTTAACTGCTATAAAGCCTTTTCTATTGAAACTTTAAATATAAATGAATATTGACTTCATATTTTATTAGAAAATGCACATTTGTTTCCCCCCACTTTCTATCTTTCACAAATTGTATTGCTGCAAGTGCTGCATAAGGGACATATACTACATCTCCATAAGTGCAGTTTTAGTGTGAGGAGTTGGGATATGTAATGTTTTAGTTGATATAAATAACAGTTTAACATTAATTGGCCATTGTAGACTAGTAAAATAAATGTAGCGCTCCTATTATTCAAAAGATCTGACTTAAATACTCACCAAAAACACAAATGTGTTTATCTGAGCACATATTTATTCATTCTTAACCCTATATTTTCACATTACTGAAAAGCTGCTCCACCTCTATTAGTATGTGTTAATTCATACTTCAAAATAATATTGTCATGTGTTGCATTTCGCTAGATAATAGAGTCTTAAAAATGTCCAGATGATAGTGCATCATTGTCATTTTGGATGAGCACCAAACTTGGTCTCAGCAGAAAAGAAAAATCCAGATTTTGAAAGAAGTGATCGGCTTAGGTATTTCATTTTTGTATCACTAGATGCTCCTAACAGTTAAAACAGGTTTACTTTACTTTACAGTTTTTAAATAGTTTAAACTTTATAGAAATAGCATTTTGCCCTGAGGTCGGGGTTAGCAACAGCCTTTATTCATTGGTTGACACAGGGTTGATTGATTGGACCAGCCACATGCTCCTTCATTGGTTGACAGCAGATGATTGATTGTCCTGGCAACCGATTCAACTGTGCCTTAAAGGGCAAATGTTTGTTTTGAAAACTGTATGAAAATATAAGATGGAGCAGGTGGACAGAGAGGATTTTATTTATCAGGATTATCTGATCCTTATTTTCTCTGCCTCTCCCTGGCTGTGTTCCCACTGTTTATTCCCGCTCTCAGCCTAAACTGCTCATGGATGGTTGGTAGGGTGAATGGGAGTCTAGACTTGGTCAGCTAATGTTTCCTGGTCCTATAGCCACAGGTGAACTGGAGTCATTACAGGTCTTTAGACAGGCAGTAGACAGCTATGGTGTTGTGTCTGCATCAAGGTCACAGTTTGCCTTGCAGCATGTCCATGACCTTGTCTCAATCAAATAAAGTACAATGTGTTCATTATTTTCAAGGAGAAATGAGAGCATTGGGAATGTGCACACTTACGCACACTCACACACACATACAGTCTCTGTGACCTTCCACCTATGCCAGGCTGCAATCTTCAATGTGAGTTCTGGGAAGTGAGGAGTGAGCGTGATAGCTTACATTTCATTGTCCTTGGTGGAAATAAGCACCGCTGTATCAGTTTTCACAGTCAAAGCTTTGCCAGTTGCTTTGCTTTTGTCACTGTCCGCTAACGAGACTCTGTTACTCTCTGCAGAATTTCTGAATTTTCAGATTTTCAGATTTCGTTTTTATGTAAACACTGTTTTAAGTTTGCAAAAAAGTATTTGGACAAATCTGTGTGCCTCATCTTTTCTCCCTCTCTGTCACTTAACACCTGCTTGATAAAGATGTTGTTGTTTCTGATTTGCATGCCTGATTAGCATTGACCTTCGCCCACAGTGAAATGGATGCTTCTCATCATCTTAAAAAGCACTCAGTTTGGTTTGTAGAGGGGGTTCTTAGCTCTCAAGAAGTCATTGACAAAACTATAATACTTGAGGAAAACTAACTCAGACATTTCTAGCAGGAAATGCAGTTTTGAGAAAAGATAAGCAGAAGGCGTGAAAGCTGAGTCAATGTATCAAACTGATGGTGGAGCGCTCTACTCCTCAGCCTTAAAGCTTCCTGGCAGGATGTGTTGAGTTCCCTTGCTACAAACAGATACCTCATCAGAACTACAGATCTGCTGGCTATGAAACTCAAACACAGCTGTAAGGTGTTGCTGACTGTTTGTTAAAAACTACTTGTTGGTGTCCTGAGGTAAACCTCCAACTTAGATTTATCCTTTTTTCATCTTCCTTGTGTGACTTCTGAAATCTTTTCTTCAACACAGCTGGGGCCACAAACCGGGGGTCCCTGAGTAGGGGAGGCTTAACAAAGCGGGACCCAGAAGGCTAATGTGGGGCCGGAGTTAAGGATATAAGGGCTCAGAGACAAAGCATGACATAAATATAAGTCCCTGTTATGCGATATTTAAAAAGGTCCTATGTTGTGTGTTTGAGAGGGAAAAAAGTGATCTTGAAATGACCTCTAAAAGGTGGAAGGTAAGGGAGGTGAGGAGGGTTTGGGACTGAGGGGTTTTACATCCTGTAATGGATACAGATTCAGTAAATTCTATACCAGTCAGATTACCGGTCTGGCCCTGACTTCTTCAGACACAGCTGGAGCAGGGGACTAACATGTCTTTGTCTGTTCATAAGAGAGGGAGAGATAGTGGGTGAGGAAGAGAGATTTTTGAATACAATGAAAACGTTTTTTGGTCTGTTTTTGTGATGATCATTAAGAGGAAGTAACAACATTTAAAACAAGCATGTAAAAAGAAACATTGTAGCTATAAAAATATGTCAGCATACAGAGAAAAAAATTAAAAAAAACATATATATTTTTTCTTCATTGTTTTTATTAATACAGAGCTTTTGAACCGCTCACTCTATCTTTAGCTCAGGCAGTATTACCCTCAGTTTGCAGCTTTGTCATAGTGCTCATTTATAGCTATTGTACAGTGTCTGCCAGGGCATTTAGAAGAAGCAGTAGTAGCACTTTGTTTCTTAAGTAGTTAAATTGTTGTGTTTGTTGTTGTGCCCTACTGTGTGTGCCGTGAGCTCTGGGCACAGAACATTACAATGCAGTGCTGTGATAGACAAATAACAGGTGAGACGGAGCAAAGCTGGCTGTCACAGTCACAGTGCACTGGGACTACAGGGCTTAGGGTTTTCCATGCACTTGCACACCCCCCTCCTTATTACCCAGACGCCTGGAACATTGTTTTGGATGTGGAAGGTTGATCGGGGAGAGAAACTATCCATTATTTTTGTTTGTTACCAGGACTTTAAATAAATCACTTTAAATAATGACGTTGAAAAGGCCCTATAATTGTAGGTATTAGTTAATAACATCATAGGAAAATGAAATACAAAAAGAGAGTGAACAAAACTGCTACTTTAATAAATATTGCAGCGAAAATAAATACATTCACAGACTGTAATTTAGGGTAATGGGTGTCTGTCGAGATGCCCACTTTAAACCAAATGACTTCGCTATACAGACAATCATTATATGCTATGATAGTTGCCTAATGGCTTTCCAGATGGAGGTGCATGTTGAATGTGTGTGTGTGTATATGTGTGTATGTGTGCTTACGACGCGCCTAGACGACAGCATGTTTGTCCAGTGAGATAGTACAGAGGAGGCCTGGAGCCGCTGATGGGTGATATG